AGCATCAGCATCAGTGCATCAGCATCAGCATCAGCATCAGCATCAGCGCATCAGCATCAGCATCAGCGCATCAGCATCAGCATCAGCATCAGCATCAGATTCCGCATCAGCATCAGCATCAGCATCAGCATCAGCATCAGCGCATCAGCATCAGCGCATCAGCATCAGCGCATCAGCATAAGCATCAGCATCAGCATTAGCATCAGCACCAGCATCAGCATCAGCGCATCAGCATCAGCATCAGCATCAGCATCAGCATCAGATTCAGCATCAGTATCAGTATCAGCATCAGCATCAGCATCAGCACCAGCATCAGCATCAGCATCAGCGCAAGCGGCATCAGCATCAGCATCAGCATCAGCATCAGCATCAGCATCAGCATCAGCATCAGCATCAGCGCATCAGCATCAGCGCATCAGCATCAGAATCAGCATCAGCATCAGCATCAGCATCAGCGTCAGCATCAGCATCAGCATCAGCGCATCAACATCAGCATCAGCATCAGCATCAGCGCATCAGCATCAGCATCAGCATCAGCGCATCAGCATCAGCATCAGCATCAGCATCAGCGCATCAGCATCAGCATCAGCATCAGCATCAGCATCAGCATCAGCGCATCAGCATCCGCATCAGCATCAGCATCAGCATCAGCATCAGCATCAGCATCAGCGCATCAGCATCAGCATCAGCGCATCAGCATCAGCGCATCAGCATCAGCATCAGCATCAGCATCAGCATCAGCATCAACGCATCTGCATCAGCATCAGCATCAGCATCAGCATCAGCGCATCAGCATCCGCATCAGCATCAGCATCAGCATCAGCATCTGCATCAGCATCAGCATCAGCATCAGCGCATCAGCATCCGCATCAGCATCAGCATCAGCATCAGCATCAGCATCAGCATCAGCATCAGCATCAGCGCATCAGCATCAGCATCAGCGTCAGCATCGGCGCATCAGCATCAGCATCAGCATCAGCATCAGCATCAGCGCATCAGCATCAGCATCAGCATCAGCGCATCAGCATCAGCATCAGCATCAGCGCATCAGCATCAGCGCATCAGCATCAGCATCAGCATCAGCATCAGCATCAGCATCAGCATCAGCGCATCAGCATCAGCATCAGCATCAGCATCAGCATCAGCATCAGCATCAGCATCAGATTCCGCATCAGCATCAGCATCAGCATCAGCATCAGCATCAGCATCAGCGCATCAGCATCAGCATCAGCATCAGCATCAGCATCAGCGCATCAGCATCAGCATCAGCGCATCAGCATCAGCATCAGCATCAGCATCAGATTCCGCATCAGCATCAGCATCAGCATCAGCATCAGCATCAGTGCATCAGCATCAGCATCAGCATCAGCATCAGCGCATCAGCATCAGCATCAGCGCATCAGCATCAGCATCAGCATCAGCATCAGATTCCGCATCAGCATCAGCATCAGCATCAGCATCAGCGCATCAGCATCAGCATCAGCGCATCAGCATCGGCATCAGCATCAGCATCAGCATCAGCATCAGCATCAGCATCAGAGCATCAGCATCAGCATCAGCATCAGCATCAGCATCAGCATCAGCATCAGCGCATCAGCGTCAGCATCAGCATCTGCATCAGCATCAGCGCATCAGCATCAGCATCAGCATCAGCATCAGCATCAGCATCAGCGCATCAGCATCAGCATCAGCATCAGCGCATCAGCATCAGCGCATCAGCATCAGCATCAGCATCAGCATCAGCATCAGCATCAGATTCGGCATCAGCATCAGCATCAGCATCAGCATCAGCGCATCAGCATCAGCATCAGCATCAGCGCATCAGCATCAGCATCAGCATCAGCATCAGCGCATCAACATCAGCATCAGCATCAGCATCAGCGCATCAGCATCAGCATCAGCATCAGCGCATCAGCATCAGCATCAGAATCAGCATCAGCGCATCAGCATCAGCATCAGCATCAGCATCAGCATCAGCATCAGCATCAGCGCATCAGCATCAGCATCAGCATCAGCGCATCAGCATCAGCATCAGCGCATCAGCATCGGCATCAGCATCAGCGCATCAGCATCAGCATCAGCGTCACCATCAGCATCAGCGCATCAGCATCAGCATCAGAATCACCATCAGCATCAGCGCATCAGCATCAGCATCAGCATCAGCGCATCAGCATCAGCATCAGCATCAGCATCAGCATCAGCATCAGCATCAGCGCATCAGCATCAGCACCAGCATCAGCATCAGCGCATCAACATCAGCATCAGCATCAGCATCAGCGCATCAGCATCAGCATTCCGCATCAGCATCAGCATCAGCATCAGCATCAGCATCAGCGCATCAGCATCAGCATCAGCATCAGCATCAGCATCAGCGCATCAGCATCCGCATCAGCATCAGCATCAGCATCAGCATCAGCATCAGCATCAGCATCAGCGCATCAGCATCAGCGCATCAGCATCAGAATCAGCATCAGCATCAGCATCAGCATCAGCGTCAGCATCAGCATCAGCATCAGCGCATCAACATCAGCATCAGCATCAGCATCAGCATCAGCGCATCAGCATCAGCATCAGCATCAGCGCATCAGCATCAGCATCAGCATCAGCATCAGCGCATCAGCATCAGCATCAGCATCAGCATCAGCATCAGCATCAGCGCATCAGCATCCGCATCAGCATCAGCATCAGCATCAGCATCAGCATCAGCGCATCAGCATCAGCATCAGCGCATCAGCATCAGCGCATCAGCATCAGCATCAGCATCAGCATCAGCATCAGCATCAACGCATCTGCATCAGCATCAGCATCAGCATCAGCATCAGCGCATCAGCATCCGCATCAGCATCAGCATCAGCATCAGCATCTGCATCAGCATCAGCATCAGCATCAGCGCATCAGCATCCGCATCAGCATCAGCATCAGCATCAGCATCAGCATCAGCATCAGCATCAGCATCAGCATCAGCGCATCAGCATCAGCATCAGCGTCAGCATCGGCGCATCAGCATCAGCATCAGCATCAGCATCAGCATCTGCATCAGCATCAGCATCAGCATCAGCGCATCAGCATCCGCATCAGCATCAGCATCAGCATCAGCATCTGCATCAGCATCAGCATCAGCATCAGCGCATCAGCATCCGCATCAGCATCAGCATCAGCATCAGCATCAGCATCCGCATCTGCATCAGCATCAGCATCCGCATCTGCATCAGCATCAGCATCAGCATCAGCGCATCAGCATCCGCATCAGCATCAGCATCAGCATCAGCATCTGCATCAGCATCAGCATCAGCATCAGCGCATCAGCATCCGCATCAGCATCAGCATCAGCATCAGCATCAGCATCAGCATCAGCATCAGCATCAGCATCAGCATCAGCATCAGCGCATCAGCATCAGCATCAGCATCAGCGCATCAGCATCAGCATCAGCATCAGCGCATCAGCATCAGCGCATCAGCATCAGCATCAGCATCAGCATCAGCATCAGCATCAGCGCATCAGCATCAGCATCAGCATCAGCATCAGCATCAGCATCAGCGCATCAGCATCCGCATCAGCATCAGCATCAGCATCAGCATCAGCATCAGCATCAGCATCATCATCAGCATCAGCGCATCAGCATCAGCATCAGCATCACCATCAGCATCAGCGCATCAGCATCAGCATCAGCATCAGCGCATCAGCATCAGCATCAGCATCAGCATCAGCATCAGCGCATCAGCATCAGCATCAGCATCAGCATCAGCATCAGCGCATCAGCATCCGCATCAGCATCAGCATCAGCATCAGCATCAGCATCAGCATCAGCGCATCAGCATCAGCATCAGCATCAGCGCATCAGCATCAGCATCAGCATCAGCATCAGCATCAGCATCAGCGCATCAGCATCAGCATCAGCATCAGCATCAGCGCATCAGCATCAGCATCAGCATCAGCGCATCAGCATCAGCATCAGCATCAGCATCAGCATCAGCGCATCAGCATCAGCGCATCAGCATCAGCATCAGCATCAGCATCAGCGCATCAGCATCAGCATCAGCATCAGCATCAGCATCAGCGCATCAGCATCAGCATCAGCATCAGCATCAGCGCATCAGCATCAGCGCATCAGCATCAGCATCAGCATCAGCATCAGCGCATCAGCATCAGCATCAGCATCAGCGCATCAGCATCAGCATCAGCGCATCAGCATCAGCATCAGCATCAGCATCAGCGCATCAGCATCAGCGCATCAGCATCAGCATCAGCATCAGCATCAGCATCAGCGCATCAGCATCAGCATCAGCATCAGCATCAGCATCAGCGCATCAGCATCCGCATCAGCATCAGCATCAGCATCAGCATCAGCATCAGCATCAGCGCATCAGCATCAGCATCAGCATCAGCATCAGCGCATCAGCATCAGCGCATCAGCATCAGCATCAGCATCAGCATCAGCATCAGCATCAGCAACACACCACTCACCCTGTCCACGAGAATGTTTGACGCCTTGAGGCCACGGTAGATGACCCCTGACAGACAGCATGCAGAGCCACCTTTGAGTTGACTCACAAGTCACTTCACCTCGCACCAGCACTCACTCACCCTATCCACCAGAATGTTTGAAGCCTTGAAGACCTGCGCCCTGTCAACAAGAATGTTTGACGCCTTGAAGTCGCGGTATATGACCTGCGCTTTCATCTCCTCGTGCAGGTAGGCGAGCCCCCTGGCAGGCTGGCAGCATGCAACACAGCGCACAGCGAGACAGCAAGACCCCACTCACCCTGTCGACCAGAATATTAGACGCCTTGAAGTCACGGTATATGACCTGCGCCTCCGTCTCCTCGTGCAGGTAGGCGAGTCCTCTAGCAGCATGCAGAGCGACCTTCATGCGGATGTTCCAGGGGAGGGGGGTGACGTTGCCTGGTGTGGTTGTATTGTAAGGGGGAAAGGAGAGGGGGAGAGGAGCGAGCATGGATCCATGGGCTCTCCGTGTGACAGCATGCAGAGCCACTGTATATCACTTCGGTCTGAAGGAGAATGGGGCGGGAGGGAGGGGAGAAGAGAAGGGGGCCACACTCACTTCACCCCCCTCCATGCAGTATCCCACCAGCCGCACCAGATTGGGATGGCCCAATGCCCCTAGGTACCTCACTTCGGTCTGAAGGAGAGAATGGGTGGGAAGGGAGAGACAAGGGGCGGAGAGGAGGGAAGGAGACGGACACATGTTCGCTTCGCCCCCCTCCATACAGTAGCCCACCAGCCGCACCAGGTTCGGATGGCCCAGCGCTCCTAAATACCTCACTTTGGTCTGATAGAGAAAATGGGGTGGGATGATGGGGTGGGAGGATGGGGTGGGAGGATGGGGTGGGATGATGGGGTGGGAGGATGGGGTGGGAGGATGGGGTGGGAGGATGGGGTGGGAGGATGGGGTGGGAGGATGGGGTGGGATGATGGGGTGGGAGGATGGGGTGGGAGGATGGGGTGGGATGATGGGGTGGGAGGATGGGGTGGGGGTTTTATCAACCGGGTACCAGCGCCCATCAACTCGTATGCCAGCAGGCGGTGCTCGCCCTCCATGCATGCAATACCCCACCAGCCGCACCAGATTGGGGTGGCCCAGATTCATGAAGAGACGAGAGGAGGGAAGGAGGGGAAGAGAGGAGGATACAGACGTACTCCACCCCCTTCCGTGCAAGTACCCAACCAGCAAGCGCCTTCCCAACAACTTCCTCCATCCTCCCATCATGCAGTACCCCATACTCAAAAGCCATTCCCAACCCACGTCACACCTGACAACCCACTCCCATCCCACTCCACCCTCTCACACCACACACTCACCACCCACTCCGCCTCGCCCTGGTAACCCTCCTGGTTCAGCGCCTTCACAGCAACTTCCTCTATCTTCCCCCCACCGACATGCACTCTCCCCTTGTGCACGCTCCCGAATCCGCCCTCCCCCAGCTTGCCCTCCCTGCTGAACCCGTTAGTAGCCTCGAACAACTCGTTATAAGAGAACTGAAGCAGAGTGGCGGCTATCTGCACGCTCCCAGGCGTCCCTCCCTGGCTGCCGAAGCTCGCAGTCTGGCTCGGGCCGACGCTGGAAGTATGGCTGAGGCTCGGACTCGGTCCTTGGCTTGACTCCTGCTGCGGGACCGCTTCCTGCTGTGTCTGCTGCGGCTGCTGATGTGGCGGTTGCTGATATTGTGGCTGCTGGTGTGGCGGCTGCTGATATTGCGGCTGCTGATGTGGCGACTGCTGATATTGCGGCTGCTGATGTGGCGACTGCTGATGTGGCGACTGTTGATGTGGCGGTTGCTGATATGGCGACTGCTGATGCGACGACTGGTGCGGCGGCTGCTGTTGTGGCGACCGCTGAAATGCGGGTGGCTGACGTGGCGACAAACGGGGTGATCGGGAACCATTAGGTGGCCCACCACCAGTCGCCGCGCTCTGCTGCTCATTGACTGCCCCGCTATTGACTGCCCCGCTACTAACTGCCCCATTACCAAGCCGTTCCGCGACGGAACCCCTTTGGTCGGCACCCACGCCCGCGATACTCGCCGGCTTGAGACCTAAAATAACGTCCACTGGAGCTACAGTGTATTCGTGCGCTGCTTCGGACTCTCCGCCGCCCAGCGACGAGCCTCGGGATCTCCGCGTCGCCCTGCCAGCACGAGGGGAACCTTTTGGGGCTGGGGCACGATACAAAGGAGTTGGGTGTGGTAGGGTTGGGCAGAGGGTAGGGAGGAGGAAGGGATGAGTAAGCGTGGGTTCTTTGCGAAGGTGCGGGCCGTTTCTCAAAGCTTGGTGGTGGACTCACGTCGCTCGTGGGTTACGCTTTGTTGGTTTTTGGAAAGTGCCGTTCTTTGCTTATTCTTCATTTGTTTATGATCTTCTACTCGACGGATTTAGGCATTTTACTTCAATCAAAACATTGTCCGTTCCCCCATGCGCCAACCACTCTCGGTCGTACTTCCACCATCAACGCTCTTCACTCTGCAGCAAACATTTTTTTTTTCGCTTCCTTACTGGAAAAGCGATACAGCGACTGCCACGTCATCATCTCCTAACGTACCGGGAGAGCGCGGCTTTTTATTATGCCGGGGCGAAAGAGGCTCTTCGTGTATGGAGAAACACCCCCCCATCGCGATTCCGTTACTACATAAACTTAACTACATCACAAATTCGACACAGTCTTTGGCCATTATTGGGTCAAGCCCTAAGAGCCTGAAGCTTCTCGAGCCGCTCCGAAGTCAAGGCTCCAGAACCAAAGGCCGCTCGCTTCAGACGATGACTTCTGCGTCAATTCAACAGCCTAAAATCTAGAGCCTACGGCTGCTCGCAACGGCGCGGACTTTAACTCACTAGCAGCTGACTGGCACGAAGTGGTGGCGTCGCATGTGCTCTAAACTAAATCGAGGAATCAGTATGGAGCTGTGTATTGGCAGTCAAGAAACTGGTTGCTGAAATATGGCAGTACCGTTTGGTGTAATACACGTAGCAGGTCTCTCTCTGGGCCAAGCCCAAGGGAGGTCCTAATTTGATTCAAGCCCAGCTGGGGGGGTCCTTGAAGTTGCTGACCGTGATTATAGCGGCGAAACAGCAATTCTGCTGCTTCATGCTGACGGCCAGCTGGCAGGGATTGGCCCGTATCGGCAGTCTCAAGGGGGACAATTGTTGGGGGGCGTGCTCAACTGTGACTATATAGCAGTTCACCCAGTTGTTGCGAATTTTGGGGTGAGTGTGGTGAAGCGATGATACACTCAATCCGAAACGGAACTGATAGTTAGGCATAAGCTTGTTCATTCAAGCAGCTACGATCTAATCTAACATTTATGAAGAAACAGATTGGCACGCACCAATGCCACTTCATTCGCCTGGGCATGACATGTGCCAGGCGCACCATCAGCACTCCACTATTTGAACACCGAGTTAAGCTTCTCGAGAACAGCAGCATCAGAGCTGCACAAATCACTCAACCAGGCGACCACCGGTCCAATATCAGGCCGATTTCCGCGGAGAGGGTTAAGACACTGTGAAGCAATCTTTGTCAGGATCGCCAGCTTGTCAGCAGGGTACTCTTCCATCCGTTCATCCACTATCAACCCGTAGTTTCCATCCTTGATCTTGGGTATTGCCTGCGTACAAGGGACAGAAGGATGGGATGTTTGGCAAGAATAAATGTGGGCGAGAGAGAGAGAGAGAGAGAGAGAGAGAGAGAGAGAGAGAGAGAGAGAGAGAGAGAGAGAGAGAGAGAGAGAGAGAGAGAGAGAGAGAGAGAGAACAGAACAACCAAGCACATGCGTGTCTTACCCATTGGGCAAGTGTAACAATCTTTACGGTGTTTCGACCAGCCTTGGCCACCACCTCTTCTTCCACCACTGGTGGTCGACCCGTTATAAGCTCGAGGAGGACAACTCCAACCCTGCAACAATTCAAAAAGGATGTATGGATACAGTGACGCCAAGGTACCATAAAAAGCGTGAATAAAGCAGGAAACGATTCAGTTTGTTGGATGCACTGCAAAGACATCGTTGTAAAAATGTGGTGGTGTGATGTGGCCTCATTACCCTACTAACATACCGCACTTCAGAACACACACCAGAATGCTGACTGCAGTAGAACCCCAATGAAGGCCAATGGCAATGCCAATGAAAATACCCGGAAATGCCATGTGCTTCCACATGAAAGCATGCAACAAAAACTCACGCAAAAATCTCGGCCTTGGCAGTGTCGACAAAGGTTTGGCAGTAATCAGGGTCCAGATATCCCTTCCTCCGCTGCACACGCACGTGGCTCGACTCCCCCGGCAGGTGCTTGCGCGTTCCCAGCCCTCCCAGCTTCGCCTGTCATCCACACATAGCATACATTGCCGCAAGCACACATAAGGGTGGTTCAAGTCAAATCTGCAGTTGACCTGCATTGACTTGCGTTGACCAGAGAGGTCAATGCTCAGATCGCAACTGCCATCCCACAGGATGGTTGATGTCTTGATGTCACGGTGCAGGATTTCCAAAGCTATGAATGAACTCGAATGTGATGACCCCTGTTGACTTCCATTGACCTCGACTGTATTACGTTGAACAGAGAGGATTGGGCTCACATTGAAATTCTCGTCCAGCAGGATGGTTTCGGTCTTGATGTCTTTGTGCACGATCGGCTTGGGCTGCGAGTGCAGGAATTCCACCGCGCGTGCCACGTCAGCAACGATCCTCACCCGCTGCTCAAACGTGAGTGGCGGTCGGGACTCTGTGGTTCACAGGGAGTTGGGGGTACAGTTATTGAGGGAGGAACAGGGGGGGGAAGGGGGTGTAATGTGGGGGGAAAGGGAAGGCTTCACACAGGACGAGACAGTCAACATATCCAACTACCCGCAGATCTCAAACCATCAGCCCCATCTTACGCAGCGCTTACTCACATACCACCGCCGCCCCATCATTTGTACACTCACCAGCGGCATCTGCAGGCGGGCGCAGCCAGGAAGCGAGCGAGCCGTGCTTCATGTGCTCGAATATGAGGATTTGTTCGGTCCCTTCGTCGCAGTAGCCCACGAGGGGAAGCAGGTTGGAATGGCGCAAACTCGTGATTAGCATCACCTGGTTAGTGGGGAGGGGGGAGAGGGTGGGAAGGTATACAGAAGCCAAGGTCAGGAGGCGAGCGAGCCGTGCTTCATGTGCTCAAAGATCAAAATCTGTTTCGTCCCTTCGTCGCAGTAGCCCACGAGGGGCAGCAGGTTGGGATGGCGCAGACTCGTGATGAGTATCACCTGTGGGAGGGGGGAGATGGTTGGTTCAGCATGTGTGGAAATGGCGATGAGGGAAGGAGGGTGAGACAGGAAAGAGAGCAGAGGCAGGTGATTAAAAGATCACCCTATTCCAGAAGCAACGCGCCTCCCACCACCAACACACCTCTTTGAGAAACAGTGCCTGGGTCTCTGGGAGCGGCTGCATTGGTGTCTGCGATTGCGTCTGCCCCTAAACCACCCGGCCCAACCACCACCCAGCCCCCCCCACCACCCGTTTCCGGCACCAACCCACCTCTCGGAGAAAGATCGCCTGGGTCTCGGGCTGGGGCTGCTTGCACCGCTTCACTGCGACGTCGCGCCCGTCGCGCGCGCTCCCGCGCAGCACCACGCTCTGCCCCTCCGCCACGATCACGCGATCCTGCGCGAACTGAGCCGTGGCCTCCGCCACGTCCGCCAGCGACCACTTCTCCGCGCGCGCGCGCGGAATCTCCGCGTCCTCGTCGTCGTCCGTTCCGCCCACCACGTGGACCGCGCCTTTCCGGGGCGTCAACCTTCCGCTACTGAGGCTGCGCGGAGTGGTGATAACGGTGGTAGTGGTGGCCTTTGCGGCTGCGTCGGCGTCGTCTGACGACGCTGCTTCTGATAGGAGAAGCGGATAGGTCGGGATGGGAGGTCAAAAGGAGAGGAGGATGCATGAATACGTACCCAAAGCTGTATATTTGACTGGGTTGGGTTGGGAGTAGCACGAGCAGAGCAAGAAAAGGTAGGACTCGACGTAACCCCAAGGCACTTGGAGATTAAGCATCTTCCGTCAAGCAGCATATTGATGCCGAGCGCAATAATAAGGTGCTTCGAAACAAACCCTGAGCTCTCCAAAAGAAAAATTATCTCACTGGTTCGGTCGAGCAGCATCTTGATCCCGAGTGCAAAGAGCGCGACGACGAGTGAGAGGCGGAATTGACCGTAGGAAGGGGGAAGGGGCGCTGGAAGTTAGCGCAAGGGGAGGGGGGCCGTGACGGCGTAGGAGCGCACGAGGCGCGAAGAGCGACGTAGTGTCGCGTGAGGGAGGGGGGCGTGATATTTCACGCGGTATGTGCGGTCCTTAGGATCGAAGATGGTGTGAGCCGTAATTGCTGTGAATACCATGTGAGAAACTCAAGTGTTGGTATATTGAGAAAGAAGAGCAGTACAAATAGTGAGTGACCAAAGTTAGGGTTACCCCCCACCATTATTGGCTGACCAATGTGGTGGGGGTCCAGCCCAATAATTGTGGTTGCGCCTATTATTGGAGAAGCCAAACATTTGGAGGGTTTGGCCACCAATGTTGGCTCCCCAACAATTTGGAACCCAACCAAAAGTTGGGAGACCTCCTGAATGTGTACACCCATGCTTTGGGTGTACACTGTTAGGTCTAGCCACATGCATGCTATAATCTAACAGCCCGACCACGACCGAGATGATAATCGTCGCAGCTGAGATCATGAACATCGCACGGAGGTGAGGGGAGAACGAGGAGGAGAGAGAAAGAAGATATCGGCATGAATGAGAGTGATGTGGCTACGGGTCGAGAGTCGCCGCACGGTGTCACACACCGTCAAAGAATGAGTTATTTCAAAGAACACTCAAAGCAGAAAGCAGACCAAACTGTTAAGATGAGACTCAATACCAATGCCTGTCAGTACAGGGTTCGAAGAGGAGCGGGCTTACTGTTCATGCTGGAGAGGAGAATCCGAAGTTGCGGCCGACTCGGCGAAAAAGTTCTACCACACAAAAGTGTTCCAGGTAGCTTTTGTTGCGGAAAAGCTGCGGAAAAACAACTTGGAGCTGCGGCAAAGCTCCGGGAGCCAAAGGCTCCAGAACCTAAGGCCGCTCGCTTCACACGATGACTTCTGCGTCAATCCAACAGCCTAAACTCTAGAGCCTACGGCTGCTCGCAACGGCGCGGACTTTAACTCACTAGCAGCTGACTGGCACGAAGTGGTGGCGTCGCATGTGCTCTGAACTAAATGAAGGTATCACTATGGAGCTGTGTATTGGCAGTCTAAGAAACTGGTTGCTGAAACATGGCATGATGGCAATACACGTAGCAGGTCTTTCTGAGCCAAGCCCGAGCACGAGAGGGGTCCAAGGTTGATTTACGCCCAGCTGGGGGGGTCCTTGAAGTTGCTGACCGTGATTATAGCGGCGGAACAGCAATACTGCCGCTTCAAGCTGACGGCCAGCTGGCAGGGATTGGCAGGTATCGGCAGTCTCAAGGGGGAACAATTGTTGGGAAGCGTGCTGAACTGTGACTATATAGCAGCAGTTCAGGTTGCGAATTTTGGGGTGAGTGTTGAATGATTTGAGTGATGAGATGATACACTTAATCCGAAACGGAACTGAACGTTGGGCATAAACTTGTTCTATCAAGCAGCTACATAAGATCTAACATTTATGAAGAAACAGATTGGCATGCACCAATGCCTCTTTATTCGCCTTGGCTCGACATGTGCCAGGCGCACCATCAACAATCCACTATTTAAACACCGAGTTAAGCTTCTCGAGAACAGCAGCATCAGAGCTGCACAAATCACTCAACCAGGCGACCACCGGTCCAATATCAGGCCGATTTCTTCGGAGAGGGTTAAGACACTCTGAAGCAATCTTTGTCAGGATCTCCAGCTTGTCAGCAGGGTACTCTTCCATCCGCTCATCCACTATCAGCCCGAAATTCTCATCCTTGATCTTGGGTATAGCCTGCGGACCACGGAGGGGTGTTAGGTAAGAAAGCATGCAGGCTTCATTTGTCGAGATAGTGAGGGAGAGAAAGAAGTCTCATGGTGGAATCAAAAGCAACTTCCACCTCCAGCTCAAAAAGCAGGGCCGTTACTGAACAAAAAGCAGTAAAGCACAACAAGCAATAAAGCACTCCTGTGCCTTATTGGGCAAGCGTAACAATCTTACCCATTGGGCAAGCGTAACAATCTTTACGGTGTTTCGACCAGCCTTGGCCACCACCTCTTCTTCCACCACTGGTGGTCGACCCGTTATAAGCTCGAGGAGGACAACTCCAACCCTGCAACATTTGAAAACACACACCAAAGGCTGACTGCAGCTTGATGCCAACTTGAATACAGCATCACTCAATACCCAGAAATATATTAATGAAAGCACTCAATTGCATGTATCGGTATTTCTACATGAAAGCACGCCAACAAAGACTCACGCAAAGATCTCGGCCTTGGCAGTGACGACGAAGGTTTGGCAGTATTCAGGGTCCAGGTACCCCTTCCTCCGCTGCACACGCACGCGGCTCGACTCCCCCGGCAGGTGCTTGCGCGTTCCCAGCCCTCCCAGCTTCGCCTGTCACGCACACATGCCATACATTGCCACACACACGCACATGTCATAGTCAAGGCTGTTAGCCGTTAAGCACACCATTGCACATGTACTCATGCTGACACAGCTGTTGACTTGCGTTGACTTGCATTGACCCTGACATACAGCAGATGTTATCCTCTTGAGTGCAGGAATTCCGCAGCATTGCACCATTGACTTGCATTGACTGGCGTTGACCAGAGAGGCTTGACTCACATTGAAATTGTCGTCCAGCAGGATGGTCTCGGTTTTGATGTCACGGTGCACGACTGGTTTGGGCTGCGAGTGAAGGAACTCCACAGCGCGTGCCACGTCAGCGGCGATCCTCGCGCGTTGCTCAAACGTGAGTGGCGGTCGAGACCCTGTAGTTCGGAGGGATGTGGGGAAGGAGCGGGGAGAAGGGGGAGACGGAGGGATGGGGGGGAGGGAATGTGTGATGTGGGGAAGGGAAGGGTCCACATGACAATGGAACTAACATGTTTAGCAACATCCAATGAGTTAACACTCACCTGCGTCCTCTGCAGGCGGGCGCAGCCAGGAAGCGAGCGAGTGAACCGTGCTTCATGTGCTCAACGATGAGAATCTGCACTCTGGCGCGCAAGAGGTTTTTCACACGTGCCAAGCTTCAATCAACCCACAGATCCGAGACTCACCTGCGTCCTCTGCAGGCGGGCGCAGCCAGGAAGCGAGCGAGCCGTGCTTCATGTGCTCGAATATGAGGATCTGCTCGCTGCCCTCATCGCAGTAGCCCACGAGGGGAAGGAGATTCGGGTGGCGCAGACTCGTGATGAGCATCACCTGGCATTCGGGGGAGAGGAACGGGGGAGCGAGGGAATGGGGCCAGTTGGAAGGAGGGGGAGGGAAGGTGGGGGGGGGAGGGGAGATAGGAAGGAAAGCAGAGGCAGCTGATAGAAGGACCACCCACCCCCGAAACCACCCGCCCCCACAACCACCTGCCCCCACAACCACCCGCCCCCACAACCACCCGCCCCCACAACGACCTGCCCCCACCAGCAACGCACCTCTCTGAGAAACAGCGCCTGGGTCTCAGGCTGCGGCTGCTTGCAGCGCTTGATTGCCACGTCCCGCCCGTCGCGCGCGCTCCCGCGCAGCACCACGCTCTGCCCCGCCGATTCGATCACGCTCTCCCGCGCGAACTGCGCCGTGGCCTCCGCCACGTCCGCCAGCGACCACTTCTCCGCGCGCGCGCGCGGAATCTCCGCGTCCTCGTCGTCGTCCGTTCCGCCCACCACGTGCACCGCGCCTTGCCGGGGCTTCATCCGCGCGCTGCTGAGGCTGCGGGGAGTGGTGATAACGGTGGTGGCCTTTGCGGGTGTGTCCGTGTCTTCTGACCGGGCGGCTCCTGATAGGGGAAGCAGAGCGGAGGAGAGGGGAGGGAGAATGAGGAGCTGGAGGGTGATGGGGCGAAAGAGGAGGGAAAAGGAGAGGAGGAGGATGCTGATAGTATTGAATGGGTGAGGCTGCGTTGGGTTGGGTTGGGAGGAATAAGAGCAGAGCAGGAAAAGGTGGGGTTCAACGTAACCGTGAGCTCTCCGAGATATAGCATCTCACTCGTTCTGTCGAGCAGCATCTTGATGCCGAGCGCGAAGAGCGCGATGAGGAGCAGCGAGAATACCTTTGTGCCTTTCCGAGCCTAAGCATCTGTGGGCGTGAGCATCTCACTGGATCGGTCAAGCAGCATCTTGATGCCGAGCGCGAAGAGCGCGACGAGGAGAATCGCCACCAGGACCGAGATGATGATCGTTGCAGCTGGAGGTGCAGACACCGCATGGAGGTGAGAGAAAAAAGGACAGAGGCAGGGAGGAGGGAAAAACCAGGATGAAGAGAAGTAATGGGAAATAGATGGGAAGAAAACAACGGAACTTAAAGAAAGACGAAGGATTGAGATAGATGTGGCTACGAGACGAGAGAACGCTGACTACTGTGCCGAAGGAGTGACGAAAAGAGCAGACTTACTGCCAGTGCTGGAGAGAAGAATCCGGGGCTGCGGCCGACCTGCATGGGACCGAGGGGAGCAGGGGTTGCAGTTGTAGATTATGTTTTTTCGGAGTGGTGATTCTAGTAGTGCAGCGATATCTGATTAAAAAAAGGCGTTCGGTTAATAAAGCGCCACTGCAGATTAAAAATTGCTGCTTTGACCAGGATTGCATTTGACAAGAGGCACGACGCGGAAACGGTGTTTCTTAACTCGGTTTCCGGTTGTCGAAAAAAAATCGATTTTCATATGTTCCTCTGTGTGCACCTGCTCTGGCGACGCCTGAATTCGCGAGTGCGACGAATGCGACGGCCATGACGGCGTCGCACGACGGCGCCAATAAATTTGAATACTCTGACGGTGACAGCCTCCAGCGCTCCATTCGTCTCAATATCTCCATTCCCTCTTTCCCCTTTCCGCGAGAAGAGGTAGTTTCTGCGCTCTTGCTACGAGAAGTGGTTTCTAAGCTACAAAAGCGGATGCTTGATATTGTAGCGGCCCTCGGCTGTTCAAAGATCGATGGCTGCTATAGCACACCGTTTCGTCTAGTTACTGCTGCTCGCAACCTTCTGAACCATTTCGTTCCTGGAATGCGCAGTAATATAGAAAGAGTAAGTCCGGGGGGCAGGCTTGAAATGAGCACGGGCGAGACAAGGAAGCGGTAGGGAGGACCAGGAATCACGAAGACTTAGGAAATGGTGGGAAGACAGGATAAAATGCATCATGGGGGCAAATTCGTGAGGACTCGTGTGGATGTGGCGCGGTGTGGGCTGAAAATCTCACAAGTCTGGGCCCTGGTTTGCTTGCGGCAATAATTGTGGGCGTTTCGACACTACGCATCAAGCGGCGGGGCATTCGACATGCGCTCCGGCTCTCCAATCACGCACCGCGCGGTTGGCGAGTGAATTGAACTTTCGCAGCTGGATTTCCAGCGCATGCACAGGAAGGGCGAGGAGAAGAAAGCCAATAATTTTCTTCCTCGTGTGCGCTTGTTCAGGTGGTGGTGACGGAGCCAATAATTGAGGCGACAAGACTGGTTACCCGTCACTGTCAATGTATTGTCGACAATGGTGTCGATGATGTCACGAAACACAATAACGGACTATTCAGCATCGAGAACATCGGTGTTGTTCTGCGTGTACCAACCTGGCTTTCATATGGTACTCCCCCAAGCCACATCTCACCTTCTTGCAGGCTTGCTGCTGCCACTCCACCACATACAACCTGCTATATTCATTCAGGCTTGCAATTGCAATGCAACCTGTCTGATTCCGGCATAGTTTCATGTATTGACTCATGAGCAGTGGGAAATCCATGGTAGCTAGATTGGCTAATCTAGCGGACCATCATTATCTGCCAGTGCCATTTCTGGCTCGTGCCGCTTCATTCGAGAAATATAGCATAAATATAACTCGGCACGTGTGATTAAAATTAAAAACAACAACGCCCGCACACTGATTTTCAGGGTGCCGTACACTAGAATAGTCTGCCACTAATTGTTGCTGTATCGTAGACTTGCATAGTCCGGCAGTGATTATCACGCTACTATAACAATTGTTACGCTATTATAACTGCAGCATGGAGGGTAAGGAGACTCAATCTCCTGGATCTGCTCTCCGTCGTTCAGCCACTCACGACGACGGAATAGATCCCTTCGATGCAATCCTAGATGCTGACGACGGCTCCGATGACGCCAGCCCGTCTCTCACGAAATCCCGGCCGTCCAATCTCTTCCGTCCGATCCAGCAGCTCTGGCGACGACCCATCGTGCGATTCGCCGTCGCACAGATCTTCATCGTCTGGGCTGTCGCAGCGTCGGTTCTTTACATCCAAGACGTCGCAATGTCGCACGAGGGGTCGCTACAACACAGCGACATTTCAGGTCTTGGTGCAGGCAGCGGCCTCGGAGCTGCCGGTCAAGCAACCTTATTGGAGCAGCTTAAAAAGCGATTTCACGAACGGTGTCCCATGCGCCCACCAGTGTGCCGCCCCAGGATTGACCTAAAGGCGGTTGCGCATAGCGCGAAGCATTTCTACGCGCAAGACAAGCCGGACGGGGAAGGCCGGGGCCTGGGGGAGAACGCGGGGGGATCAGCGGATGGGAAAAATGGGACTAGCGGGGGCGGCGGCGGGGCTGGCGGAGCGGGGGATGAGCTTCCGCTGGTGGTGTTCTTCGCGGGGATTGAGGGTTCCGGTCATAAGTTCTTCGAGCAGGTGTTTCGGAACATAAAGAAGGTCAACTTCAGTGGTGAGTTGCCCAAGCCCGGCCGTGCTGTCCCCTGTCTGCCCGTGCTTTCCCCTGCTTGGCGTTGCCCCCTCTGCAGTGGTGGCGTTCGAGCCGCTGCTCCACCTCACCTCTCCCACTCTATTACCCATCTCCCCAATTCCCCAACTTCCCCTGTCTGGTCGTGCAATTCCCTACCTGCCTGGCGTTGCTGCCCCCATGCTTTGCCGTGCTGTCCCCTGCGCGTCCTGCAGTGGTGGCGTTCGAGCCGCTGCTCCACCTCACCTCTGAAGAGACCCAAACACACGTGCATGGCGTGGATGCGCGGTGAGTGCCGGTTCAGTGCGGTGACTCTGAATTGAATGGATTTCATGTCATTCTCACTTTGTTTCTTGACTCCACACCCCCTCAACCCCCCCTTTCCCCCCCCCTCCCCCCCGCCTCCCCCCCCCCCCCCTCCCCCACTCCATCCCTCTATCCCGCCTCCCGTTTTTGGGTCGACTCAATTGTCACTTCAACCTGTTTCGCCCCTCGTCCGTTCCATCCTTGAGTTTGCGCTCAAACCCCACGCCTGTCTCTAACCTCACGCCCGGCCCGCCCTTTTTTGCTCCACCCAACGCCCATCCGCCCTTCTCCCGCCCCCCTGATCCGCCCCTCGCCCCTCCCGTTTTTCCCCCCAGCTGTCCGCGCCTGCCCTACGCGCGGCCCCTGCGCGCCTATGCCAAGGAGATGGCCGTGCGGCTGGCAGAGATTGGCAGCTGTACGTGTTGGGTGGGTGGGTGGGTGGGTGGGTGGGTGGGTGGGTGGGTGGGTGGGTGGGTGGGTGGGTGGGTGGGTGGGTGGGTGGGTGGGTGGGTGGGTGGGTGGGTGGGTGGGTGGGTGGGTGGGTGGGTGGGTGGGTGGGTGGGTGGGTGGGTGGGTGGGTGGGTGGGTGGGTGGGTGGGTGGGTGGGTGGGTGGGTGGGTGGGAGGTTGAGTGCGAGGCTGTTCCTTTCCCCAACGTTTCGTCTTCTCTCCCCTCGTTCTGACAACCCCCCCTCCCTTTTTCCCCTCTTTTTGTCTCCTCTCCCCCTCTCCCTTTCTTCCATTCCCGTGTATGTGTGACAAATACGACTTTTAAGTTGCCTCAAAATTCCTCTCCCTCTTCACCTGACCACTCCTCACCTCATAAACCCCCCTCCTCACTCCTCCCCCCACTCCCTTCCTCCATCCGTCCCACCCCCACACAAACACCAGCCGCGTACCTGCGTGCCCGCGACTCCTACCCTCTGGGCCGGGTTCGGACGCCCCTGGCTCGGCCGGACCTAGTGCACATGCTGCAGCTGGACGGGCTGCTCTTCAATTTGAAGGTCGTCGTGATTTCGCGAGGGCTTTCCGACGCCGTGCGGTCGGCCTATAGGATGGGCTACCACGGAGGGGACCTGGGCCTGCAGGTGAGCACCCTCCCGTTTTCTCACACTCGTTTTTTCTCTGCGGATGGTGTTTCATCACCACCCTCACGACACCACCATGCGCATTGATGCCTGTTCACTTCCACACTCCCTTTCCCCCCTTGCACCCCTCCCCCCGGTGCGCATAGTGGAGGACGAGATGATGTTCCTTGACACCACCATGCACATGGGAGTGCATGATGTTCCAGTAGCGCGATGCCATTTACTCACACACTGCCTACTTTCATCCACCCCTTGACCCCGCCCCCTCTTCCCTCCCCCACCAGGTGCGCATAGTGGAGGATGAGATGGTATTCCTAGACACCACCATGCGCATGATCCCCTGCAGCAAGTACATTGTTCTCGACTTTGACTGGGTGGCTGACAGCCCTGAGGTAGGTAACTGCCTGACTGGTTACCACCTGCCTGATTGCTTCTCCTCCCTGTTGTCGTCAGCTCCCTCTCTCTGCTGCCATGCTCTCCTCTCCCCCCTGCCTTCCTCCAACCTCCACCCCTCCTCCTCAACCCCTTCCTTTCATTTCCCCTGTTTCTCCAACAGCACTTAATTTCTTTCCTTCTTTTTCCCTTCTTCTTCTTCCTTTCTTTCTCCCAGCTCGTGGCAGAGCCTCTGGCAGACTTTCTTGGAATGGGGTTGACAGCAGAGGATATAGTAGCGGGGGTAAAAGGCGCCACCCAAACCAAGCCTAAGCACCAAACAGAGTACCCCGAGTTCGGCGGGCAGGCGCTCGACGAGTTTTTTTCGGTCCGGGCAGACATGTGGCCACTGCTACTGGCTTGTAGGTCGACTCCTTTTTTCCGCCCGCTGCATCCACGGGATTGGCCGATCACGCACTCTGAGCTGGCTGGGGTCATGGAGAGAAGGCAAGGGTATGATTATGATTAAGCAGCGGCAAAGAGCAGTGTACACTACCTGAAGACGGGTTTCCAATATAAAAAGTGAGCGTGTTAGGGATAAAAGAAAACAAATGGTATTGATCGGTGAGCCTTAATGGAAAATAATATATACATATGTTCAGTAGACGATAACGTTTCTGTTTCGAATGGGGGTCGGCTGTTGTAGGTTCACCGATCAAGTGCGCGCCTCTCCAAGGGCACGCCTGGTCCAAGTGCGCGCTTGGTCCAAGTTTAGTCTAAGGGGGGCGTTTTATCCATCGGAGGCGATTAATCCAGGGGAGGCGTTTTATTCAGGGGGGTGTTTATCCAGGGGGTCGCTAATAATCTGGATATGGTCCACTTGGTTTCAGGATCAACCGAGTAGACAACAGTTTTGCTTTGTACTTGTACAAGTGAGCATAAGTAAGATCGGGCGAGCTGGTAGTGAAGTATCCCGCGTACAATATGAGAAAATCTGCGCTTCGTCAGCGCTTTGGTGCCGACCGACGGCCGAATCTCGAAAACTTTTGAGTTACTCCGTTGCCATTCGCTAGCGACATGCTTGTGGGGACCACAGAAATCGTCTTCTCGCATCCGTCCTGCTGTGACGCATCCTTGCTGTGCTGACCAAGTCAGCCTGGCGGCATTCCCGACGCCGCTCCTGGTGATGCTGTTTTTTTTTTTTTTTTTTTGTTTGTTTGTTTGTTTTGTTTTGTTTTTTTTTGTTTTTTTTTTGTTTTTTTTGTTTTTTTTGGATATAAGTACACTACCAGCATACATACATCCGCAGTCGTAACTGTTGCTAGGAGGGCATGTAGAGGCTACAAGTACACAGGTAACCAGAGCCCCCCTTATCCTTTTACGGAGGTTGGAAAGCTACACCGCCATCTTCCCAGATCGCCTTAAAACCCGCTCTCCACGTCATCGAGGCCTCTGTCTCGTAGAGCCTGCGCATAGCACCTGCTTCGTCAGCATTCAGGTGGCTCCAGTCACCCGTCCTTTCCGAGGCGTTTCTGCCAGCCGTTTTCTTCCGCGCTCTGCTGTAGATCTTCACGTGCCTCGTGAAGCCAACCGCTATGCGCCTCAATGCTCTCTTTGGTTGGAAACGGCTACCGCGGAAAACCGCGTTGCACCTCTCCAGCCAAACTTGATGCGCTGTTATGGATATGATTGCCGCCTCAGGGAAGCCTGTTGACGTGCCACTCCTTTGGAAGAGCATGTCACCGAGAGATCGCATGTTTCTGCCCGGATTCATACACTGAACCGCTTTCCTCATCACCCCCACCACAGGTTGGATCGTCGGGCAGCTGAAAAGGCAGTGATCCTGCGATTCCACTCCACCACAGTACGTGCATTTCGCCCTCGCGCCCAAGAAAGGGAGCCGTTCTCCCACCTGGAGGTTGTTACTGTGCACCCTCAGTATTACTTCCCGTGCCCTGCATGGGGTTGCCAGTGAGTCACGGACCATGATGGCCTTCCCCCAGCCAATCTTCCTCCCCAGCTCCTCTTCCCACTTGAGCTGCTGTTTCGGTTGCGTCACCGAGGGTTTCATCGCCTTCCTCAGCTTCTTTAGATCAGCTCGCTCGCCTTTCTCACAGATTGTGGAAAAAAGCAGTCGCGTTCTTGGAGCGCCGAGTAAGCCGCGGGCCCTCCCGTCTATGACTGCCATGGGTGAAACGCGCCGAAAATCCACCGTTCCCACGCTAGCATATTCCACCTCGCCTATGTTCCCTTTCTTGTCCACCGTCACTCTTCGACCATATAGTTCGCCGTTGCTCACATACTGCAGCTGGTAGTAAAAGAACACTCCTGGCCGGTAAGACGCAGAGCGGACCAGCCTTGTTTCCCTGAAAAAATTCCTCCGCAGACAGTTGGTTGAGTACCAGATCCTTCCACCTCTGCGGCGCCGCCTCCCACGCCTTCAGGGCCCCATTTCCTCTGCTCCTCACCTCCCAGTTCCCTCTCCAGAACCTCCTCACTCTTACGAGATCTGCTGCCATCCCCTCCTTTCGCCACCAAATCCCCCAGTCGAATGCCCTTCAGGCAAAGCGAACCCGCCTGGTTTCCAAAAGGTGATCTGCCTCTGAAGAAAATATTGCGATTGAAGAGTAGCTGCTCCTCCTCCGCGTCCCACCTGTGTGCCGGGTCGCCTATGGTCACCAGTTTTGAGTCCCACAACGCTTTAGTAGTGGCTTTCCATCTCGTTCCTCCCCCCAGCCAGGACTTCAGGACCGAAGGGTGCGCGTAGATTGTGGCCAAGCCGAGGGGAAAAGCCGCCGCTCTCTCCCATAACCAATTCCGAAGTGGCTCCTGCTCCGCCAGGGCCTTCCCCAATCCTTGAATCACCATGCTGTCAATCCGGTGCTTCAGATCAATCACACCCAGGCCTCCCTCTTTCCGTCCTCTGCACGACAGTTCGTAGCTCCACAGCGTGAAGTGCCTGTCGAGGAGCGCCTTCCCTCCCGAGATGAAATTGTGACAAAGCCTCTTCACTTTAGTCCAGACCTCGTATGGTGGGGCGTAGATCTGCGCCTGGAAGAGCAGGATCGGCATCGCATAACTGTTAATGATTGTAACCCGTGCCGAGGTTTTGAGATGTTTAGTCTCCCAGCAGCTCAACACCGCGCTAACTTTTTCAAAAGCCTTGTCCCATGCAGGTCCCGGTGAGCCTCCAGAGGTGATCCAGATTCCGAGCAACCTTTCAGACGTGTTCTTATCCGCCCACTTGAAAGACGACGCTATCGGCTGCAGCCTCCTTCGATTTTTTCCCAGCGGCATTAGTGTGGTCTTATCGCGGTTCACCTTCAACCCTGAGATCTCCGCGAACTCCCCCAGTAGTTTCTCAGCAACCGCCACCTGCTCCTTGCCCTTCAGTACCAGTGTCGTGTCGTCTGCATACCCAATGTAGTCTAGGCTCCCTTGCACACCTCTCTTCCTGACCCCCAGTTTCCTCCGTTCTATTTCTTGGCAGAGTGGCTCAACCGCGCAAAGGAAGAGATATGGGGCTAGCGGACAGCCTTGACGTACCCCTTTGGCCATCTCCACCCGTTCTCCAATCCAGCCATTCAACAACACCTTCGTCGCCGCTCCGTCGTGAAGACCCTTCACCCATCTTGTGAACTTCCCCGGGAAGCCCAAGTTGTCCAGCGTCGTGAAGAGGTATTCCCGTGATACCGAATCGTAAGCTTTCTGAAAATCGACCAACAACAGCAACCAGTCCTCGTCCTCCTGCTCCGCAGCGTCGATCGCATCCGCTACCAGAGAGACAGCGTCAGCGAGGCTCCTTCCCGGAAGAAAACCAAACTGATTGCTGGAGATCACTCTCGGTAAGACCACCTTGATACGATTCGCCAAAACCTTCGCCAGTAGTTTGTAGAAGAAGCTCAATAATGTAATCGGCCGGTAATTTCCCAGATCATCCCTGTCTCCTTTTTTGTGCAGAAGTATCGTAACCGCCGTCGTGAAGGACTCCGAAAGCACACCCGCTGATTCGAAAATCCCGACTTCCCTCATCACCGCCGGGCCCAACAGCTCCCAATTTCTTTCGAAAAAATCTTTCGGCAAGCCGTCCTGCCCCGGGGCCTTCCCCGCCGGCAAGCCTTTAAGCGCGGCCTTCACCTCCTGCTCCGACCATTCACTGTCCAGCTGTAAGCGATCACTCTCCTGCAGCGCCTTTCCCTCTTCAATCGGCCACGGCTCCACAGGAGCGGACGACGGCGACAGCGCGTAGGCTTCTCGGAAATGTTCCGAGGCCGCTTGCAGCACCTCGCTTGCTCCCTTCCTCAGCACCCCTTTGAAAGTAAGTTCCGCTATCTCAGTTTTCGCCTTCCTGGACTTGACCAAGCCCGACAGGAAGCCTGATGGAGTCTCCCCCGCCAGCTCTTGCAGCAACCCCGTCAGAACTTGCAGCCGCTCTTTGTTACTGTCCTGGTAAAGCTTGAGAGCCGCTTCGTTTTTTATCAGGTCCTCGTACAGAGCCTGCGACGAAGGGTCTGACATCACCTTTCATCTGAGCTCTTCCACCTTCAGCTCCAAGTGCACCATGGTCGCCTTAACCCTTTTCCTCTCATCCGCTACATGAGCTCTCATGCTTGCTCGCAGGTTCGTCACCAGCCTCTCCAGGCCCTGGTCCGGATAATTCGCTTGCGAGTCTAGTACCGCCGATATGATGTTCCTGACGCCTTCACCCCCAGCATGGGGTGCCTGAAGCCTCCACAACCCTGGACCATGGTCATCTGCCGATGCAGCCTTGAGAGACACCGACACAGCAAACCAGTGATCTGTTAACCCGTATGGGACCATTCTGTGTTTCGCCTCCACTACACAGCTGAGAAGAGAGTGTGACACTAAAACCCTGTCAATCCGTGTGCTTGCTTTTGCAGATCTCGAGAAGAAAGTGTACTCCTTCCTGGTCGGATGGAGACTCCGGAAAGCATCTTGCAGATCCCATCTCGAGCAAATCTGCAGGAGCCTCTGGTTTTCCGCCGGTGTTCCTAGTTTTGAGGATTTGTCCAGCTCTGGATCCGCAACGATGTTAAGGTCGCCAAGAAGTATGGTATACGGAGAGACACCCAAGCTCTGCACAAAGGGTGTTAGTACGTCACGAAAGAAAACCCCCCTAGCGGGTGCTTGTGCAGGTAAATATACAGCCACCACTCTGCATGTCAGATCGCGCCATGCGATCATCAAACTTATGATACGGCCGGACTCATGCTTAACCACGTCCGTGAACCGCGTGCCTGGCAGGAAACCCAAGACCGCCACCCCCCCGGCTCTCTGCGACGGGCCAACCACCGCTTGTGCTTCCGACCTGACTTGCGTCCAGAAATTATGATCCTGTGAAACTCGTGTGTCGGTGAGTACGACTACATGCGCTGCTTTCCTGATCCACTTTCCGCATCTCTCTTGTTTCCCACAGCTACCGAGCCCGTTGATGTTGAGCTCGAGGAAAGTTAAGCTGTTGCGTTTATCCATTAACCACTGTCCTTGAGCCCCACAGCATCCACGGGC